ATTGCTGCTGCTGAATTTTTTTGTACTTTTATTCACGGATCAGAAACTTCTCTCTAGTTTTCTCCCTACTCCGGCATCGTCACGGGGCGTGCCACATATCAAATCGCTCGTCTTGACGAGACGAACACGCTCACCAAATTTCAGCGCGATCTAACTTGGAACAAGTGAGATATAGGCCCCAAAAGTTACTACCCGTGACTATAAGAACAACCACCTTTAATGGTGTTTTAGTGCAGGGTGCCCTTATGGGAATAGTGTGCGGCCTACCCCTCTTCGGTATTTTATCCATAACTTGTCCTGGAGTGCCCGATTAAGCCGAAACTTGACCCATAAGGATTTTCGACCCCGCCGAATCCAATGGTGGTGGTCCCATAGTAATTTGACACCCTAAAAGTATAGTTTTAGTTACGGAGTCCATTTTAGGGTGCTAAAGGTCAATTTTTCAGAAATTGTTTCTTTGTTTTCACTACCTTAGACATATTTGATAGCGATAAAACTTGGCAAGTGGCCTTTTGAAGTGCTTTCGAAGATCTTAAGCAGTTCTGGGGCAATTCTAAGACCATCAGGATTTTCACTGTTTTGTAGGCTTTATTGACTTGCTTCCTCTTTATTCCGCATCAGGGACCAAGGTGCTGAAAAATGCATTCAAACAGGACCATCAACTTTTCGGGTATAGATTCAGTAGGTGCTTCAGGGGGATTGTAGGTTTTGTGGGACCCCTTAGTTTTGCAAAGTTTTATGTCAATTGACAAGGATAGGTTTTTATTAGTTGGTTTTATTGGACTTTTACCCGGTTTTTCTTGGGGTTTGTTAAATATCTATGGTTCTAATTTATCTCTTATTTTCTTTTTTTGCTTGGGGGGAGATTTTAACGTCATTCATTGGCCAAATGAGTCTTCCTCATTACCCCCTAAACTCTTACATTGGACTGTTTAATGGTTTTATTAAAAGGCATTTGTTGCTGGATCTTCCAATTTGAGGAACAACCCATACTTGGTCAAATAATAGTATGGTCCATCTTGCTATGTCCAAATTAGATAAGTTTCTTGTGTCCTAAGAATGGTCAGAAGCTTTCCCTTTGGCTTCTGTTCGTGCTCTTACTTGACTATCCTCAGATCATGCACCGTTGTTGTTGGTTTTCAAAGATGTTACAAATGGTCCAAAACCTTTTCGTTTTGAAATTGGTTGGTTGGAAGAGAAAGAGGTTATAGACCTCATTCGTCACTCTTAGTATACTTTCAATTACATAAGAAGCTGTTAAAGATTAAGAAAAAATTGATTGAGTGAAACAAGAGAATATATACCTTGTTAAAATCAAAATTGATGTGGTTCTATTAGATATAGCAATGATGGATCTTAACATTCAGCAAGAGGGTGTTTTGACAGAAGAGATGAGAGTGGATAGAAATTCTAAACTTAAGTCTCTTTTTACTTAGGAAGATTGGAAGAAATTTATTGGAAGCAACTGTCTAGGACGAAGTCGTTGAAAGAGGGAGACCATAATACTAAAATCTTCCATGTTGTTGCCAGCGCTAGAAAGAGACAATGATATCTCGGGCATCACCATCCCGAGTGTTGACCCTGAGAATAGTTTAGCGGTGGGGAGGGCAATAGTTGACCATTTCTAGAAGGCTTTTACCTCTGAGCTATCTTTTACTCCGAGGTTAAACATGGTGCCTTTCAAATGTTGCTCAGCTTGAGGCTGAGGTAACAGTGGAGGAACTACAAAATGTGGTGTTTGGTTTACCAGGTGATAAGGCACTGGATCTTGATGGTTTTCATTTAGTTTTTTTCCAAAAGTTTTTGAGTTTTGACTTATTTGGGATTGCTTGAAATTGTGCGAGACTTTATGAGAAGGGGGCACTTATTTAAAGGGGTCAATTGCATGTATATTGCCTTGATTCATAAAAAATATGTGATTGTTGATCTTGGCGATAAAAGACCCATTAACTTGCTTACAAGATTATATAAAATTATGGAAATACTTTTGGTGTAAAGATTACGAATTGTTTTACCTGTGGTTGTTTCAGGCCAACATTCAGCTTCATTCAAGATAGGCTTATCACGGATAGTGCTTTGATAGCACAGGAGTGCATACATTCGAGATTGATTGGCCAAAATCAAGGGTTAGTTATTAAACTAGATATGGAGAAAGCATATGATAGAGTTGAATGGGGGATTTTCCTAGAAGTGATGAGGAAGATGGGTTTTGGGGAAAAGTAGAGGAGTTGGATCTTTGGATGTCTCTCTTTTGCTCATTTCACTGTATTGTTTAAGGGTTCTCCTACTGGAGTTTTTCAAGCATCAAGGGGTTTAAGGCAAGCAGATCCACTTTCACCATTCTTGTTCACCCTTGATGCAGAGAGCGTCAGTTTGATGCTTAAAAATATAGAGTGTATTGGGTACTTCAGTGGTTTTTTGATAGGATCTTCTAATATTCAAATTTCACACTTACAATATGCGGATGATGCCCTGATTTTTTTGTCATGCAGATGCAATGCAGGTTAGTAATATTGCCACCTTTTTCAATATCTGTGAGGTGACGATTAGTTTGAGTGTAAACTTTAGCGAAACATCCCTGATTGGTATCAATAGTAGTGAGAGTTAATTCAGGATTTGGTTGAGGCTTTGGGATGTAAGGTGGACCACTTCCCAATCACTTATCTAGGATTGCCTATCTCAGATAGAAGATTATCTATTTTTGCTTGGGATTCAGTCATTCATCATGTTCATGTTAAGTTGGATTTATGGAAGCCAAAATATCTATCTTTAGGAGGAAGGGTTACCCTGTTACAGTCGTGTTTAGCAAATCAGCCCATTTATTAGATGTCTTTCTTGCAGATGCCTGCAACTGTTTATAAGAAAATGGAGAAGATGATGCGGGATTTCTTGTGGGGCTCTTATGGTGATGATAGAAAATACCATATCTTAAGACGAGATAGAGTTTGTACCCCAAAAAGTGAAGGAGGTTTGGGGATTCGGAGAGTAAAACTAGTAAACCAGGCTCTATTATGTAAATGGTAGTGGCGGAGTCTCCTCTTCAAAGGCCACTTATGGTTTAAAGTTTTAGCTGCAAAATATGGAAGGGATAGACATGGCATGTGTTTAGGATTTGAAAGGGGTGGAAATGTGTCTTTCTTTTGGAAAGCAATTGCTCGATGCAAACCTTTCGTTGACAGAAGTATTAGGTGGATAGTTGGTGATGGTTCTAACATTTCTTTTTGACATCACAAGTGGGTGGGGCACTATTATATGAAACTCTTATTTCATGACCTTCTTGAGAAGTTTGCCAATCCAAATGTCATGGTTGTTGACATTTACGAAGGAGTGGGCTACCATGTTTTTTGGAATGTGAGCTTACTATGTAACAGGTTGTGTGATGATCTTATTGTGCAACTATTCTCTCTTAGAAATGTTGAAAGGTGTATATATTCCGACTGCATCAGATGATGAGGTTATATGGGAGGAGGGAAGTGATGGGGTGTTTTCAGTTAAGTTTTATTACAGATTTCTCTTCAATGATCGATGGAGATGGACCATGCCTCAATTGTCTCATAATTGGAAGGGGCTAATACCGCACAAAGTTCAGATTTTCAATTGGCTTGTGGCAGAAAATAAGATTCTCATTGTGGATAATCTTATCAAGAGAGGGAACATTCTTCAAAATATTTGTCTGATGTGTACGGAAGATGGGGAAACTGGGCCTCACCTTTTTTTCTATTGCCAAGTTGCAGTTAGAATTTGGCATTGGTTTTTGGTTATGATGGGAATCAGCATGCCTCTACCTCAAAATGTTCTTGGTATAGTAACAAATCTCTCTATTTCTAGTTTACAAGAGGTTGGGAGAGTTATTTGAAAGATAGCTAGGGGTGTTATTATGTGGGAAATCTAGTTGGAGCGTAATAGATGCACTTTTGAAGGAGATTGCCTTCCCTTTAAAAGGCTTCTTCTAAAGATCAAGCATTCCCTTTGGTATTGGCTGGCTGCAACCAAGGAAGGGTGGAGAATATCAGAGGTGGATGTTATGATATAGCTCCATAATTTCATGTCTTTGGGGTCGGCGAGGATCAGGCTGAGGATTGTGTGGTGTTCACCTCCGGCTGATATGTTGAAGTTAAATTTTGATGGGAGCCCATAAGGTAATCTAAGGGTCACAGGTATTGGGGGAGTTGTTCATGATTCAAATGGAGTTGTTCTTCTCTCTTTCACAGGTCCAATTGGAGAAGCTACTTCTAACTTTACTGAAATGACAACTCTTTTACAAGATTTAAAGCTTCTTCATTCCAATTTTCGGGGTAGACCTTCTATTGCTGAGGGGGATTCGCATAATGCTATTAAATGGTGTAGAAAGGAGATAAGGGTTCCTTGGGAACTCAAATCCTTGTGGCTTCAAATCCTTGATCTGGGGATATGTGTTCATACAGCATGTTTTTAGGGAAGCTAATTGCTTGGCTGATTCTTTGCCAAAGGAGGCACGTCTCTTTCTCTGCTTTCTATTTCTAATGTTGTAATCCAGTTTGAGTGACTTCCTTTTTTAATAATATTTATGATATTCGTCAAAACAAAACCTGTTGGCCTTGTATCATGGTGCGCTAAGGCTTGATCCCATGCATAACAAGGTCTTGATTGAGGGAGACTCAACTAATGTCCTCATGCTGCCACCTGGATTCCACGTCCTGGAAACTCAGACATGTCCGTCGGGGTTTCAATTATGATGGAGATGTTCTTGCCAACTGTATTGCGCTTCCTCCTTAATCCCCCTAATCCGTTTCTCTATCTTTTCTTTCTTTTTTCTTCTTCCCCTCCTTTTTTCTTGTTGTGCTTGATCTACATGTTTATGTAATACCTTCATTACCTTCATAAAATACGCCTCACGTTTAAAAAAAAAATAAAACAAAAAAAAAATAAAAAAAAAATATCTAGGCGTCACCCTCGTACAAACCTCTCCATATTGCCACAGGAACTACTGAAATCGATCTAAACTCATACTAGTTCTGGAAGGTGCCATGTGTATTACTGCTGCTTGCTGCGCTAAAATGCCAAATCACGTGTCATTGTTGAGCGACCCGCGCCTGGCCATCCTTAAAGAGTCATTAGCTGTTGGCTCTCTCTCTCTCTGCAGACCTGGAGATGAATGCATATCCACTCCTCCCACCACGCGTCCCCTTTGGAATGCGTAAATTTGCATGCACCCTCCAGCAACTTGCTTCCCTCTCTTTAACTTCAACACCTGTCACCTGCTTTTTCCTCCTCTTTCTCATTGTTTCCACTGCATCTCTCTTTCTTTCCTTGTCCTTCCCCTTCCCCTTCCCCTTCCCCTAACTCGAAGAGGAGAAGAAGAAGAAGCAGCCATGGAACTAAATCAATTACTCTTCCATCCATTGTTGCTTTTAAATTCTGATCTTGGGTAAACTTGGTTTGTTCTTCTGCAGAACTTTCAAAATAGAGGGGTTTCTACTCGTTTTACGGTTTCAAAGAGATTCAAGGATGGCTGATAGAGAATGGAGTTTGAGGAAGAAGATTGTGTTGACAGGCTTGGCCTTGTCGTCGGCTCCTGTGGTTCTTCCTCCCTTGATGTTCTTCTCGGCTGTAGGTTTTGTGTTTGCTGTGCCTTTCGGCGTCGCTTTCATCGGATATGCATGCACTGCAAAAGTACTGAATTCATTGCTGCGGAGAAAGCAGGAAAAGGCTCCATTAATGGCGATCAAGGGTGAGGTTGAAAGCGACAAGAAGGTGTGGGAGGATACTATTAGACCAGGGAAGCGGATCAAATGGGAAGATATGCATCTCGAGGAAATTCATGATGCCGAGGAAAATTATGAGGATGAGAGAGAATCACCAGTTTCTGGAAAGGAGGAGGATGGCAAAAGGATTGAGGAAAAATGCGAGGAGAGAGAGGGTTTAGAAGGAGAAAGGCGGAAAGAGAGAGAAGTGAAGAGTGAGAAAAAACCTGTGAGTGCGGAAGGAGCGAGAAAGGGGGAAGGTAAATTCAGTCAAGAACAAGGTGGAGAACTGAAAGACTACAGTACAGAAAAGAAGAAAGATGAGAGCGAGGATCTAGAAGAAATGAGCGATGGAGAACGAGTGCCTGTGAAAGGAGAGAGAGAGGCTCTAGGGAAATTGAGTGAAGAACAAAGTGTAGAACTGAAAGAGTCCAATAAAGGAGAGAAGTATGAGAGAGCTGATCCAGAACAATTAAGGCCCAGTGAGGGGGCAGCAGCGACGGTGAAAGGAAGAGAGAAAGAGGATGGAGGTGAATCAACTGAAGAAGAAGGAAGCTCAAAAATGGAAGACTACACTGAAGAGAGAAACAAATATGTTATGATTGTTTCCGAGAAGCAAGCACCTGAACCAGATGAACCAAAAAAAAAGTTAGATGAAGCTCATGGGATCAAAGAAGGCCCTGCAACTTTTACTCTGCAACCTGTTCATGGTGAAAATAAAGACCACACAACAATTGTTAGTGAGGAGCCATCCGCCCCTATGCTACAGAAGAATGGGCATGGGGATGTGACGGAACCATGTCCTGACATTTATTGTTACTCTGCTTTACCATATCCAAGTGAAAGCAAAGAGACAGCAGAGGTTGGTAATCCGCAGTCCACCCGTGTCTTTGAGAATGGCCATGGGAGCCTCCGGGAACCTAGCCGTGGTGTTTTGGATTATTCTTCTTTACCTGAATCTCCTAAGCAGAAAGTGATTGTTTCAGAAATGGGCTCTTTAACTGATTACACATCAACAATGGGCGATATCTCTGCCCTAACAACCAATGAGCTTATATCAACAACAGGGGATCTCTCTGTCGATACTATGAACAAGAGAGGTGATGACACTGTGGATTTTCCTATCAAGTCTCAATCTGTTGTCCATACGGAGTCTATCCCAGGAGGGAAGCCTGTGTCTGAAGAGGTTAGTAATTATTTGTTTTCTACAATTTTTGTGGTTCCAGATATTCAATACATGTTTGCATGGGTCATTTGAAACATATCCAGTGATATATAAGTTGACAGTTAACATTTCTAGTGATATACCAATTGATTGTGTGGCCATGTTTTTCTTGACCTCTTGATTTTGGTCTCAAGACTTAGTGCATTTCTATTGGATCATGTGCCAATATGTCAGAGACCAAAGTTAGCAACTCCATGGCAATGGCAATTGATCCAGTTATCATCTTTTCTCTGTTGTACTTGTGCCGGGTGTTGAATGCATGTCTTCACATACCATAAACTTTATGGTTTTACTACTGACTTGTAATTAAGTTTTTATACTGATTTGTGAATTGTTCTGGTGGCATCCTCTTGTAACTGATGACTGGCCGTGGTGTTTTCTATTATTTCTCTTTACCTGAATCTCTTAAACAGAAAGCAATTGCTTCGGAAATGGTCTCTTTAACTGACGACTACACATCAGTAATGGGCAGTATCTCTGCCCTAACAACCAATGAATATATATCAACAATAGGGGATCTCTCTGTCGACAGTATGAACAAGAGAGGTGATGGCACTGCGGATTTTCCTGTCAAGTCTGATGGTCATACTGAGTCTATACTAGGAGGGAAGCTTGTGTCTGAAGAGGTTAGTAACTGCTTCGTTTCTACTGTTTTTTTTGGTCCATATATTCACTACATGTTTGCATAGGATCATTTGAAACATATCCAGTGATATATATGTTGATATTTCTAGTGATATATGAATTGATTGTGTTGCCTTGTTTTTCTTGACCACTGGATGTTGGCTTTCAAAACACTACACGTTTCTATTGGATCGTGTGTGAATATATCAGAAATATCAGAGACCAAAGTTAGAAACTCTATGGCAATGAAATTGATCCAGTTATCTTTTTTCTGCTGTTCTTATGCCAGGTGTTAAATGCACATTTGCACGTACCATAACTCTAGGGTTTTACTACAGACTTGTACTTGAGATTTTCTATTAATTTGTAAACTAGTTCTGGTAGAACGCCCTCGTAACTGATGACTAGCCGTGGTGTTTTGTACTATTCTTCTTTACCTGAATCTCTTAAGCAAAAAGAGATTGCTTCAGAAATGGTCTCTTTAACTGATGACTGCACATCAACAATGGACGATATCTCTACCCTAACAACCAAGAAGTATATATCAACAACAGGGGATCCCTCTATTGATACTATAAACAGGAGAGGTGATGACACTGGCGGTTTTCCTGTCGAGTTTCAATCTTATCAATCTGGTGCTCATACTGAGTCTATTCCAGGAAGGAAGCCCAAGTCCGAGTCTATACCAGGAGGGAAGCCTGTGTCTGAAGAGGTTAGTTATTGTTTTTTTTATATTGTTTTGATGATTCTAGATATTCAATACATGTTTGCATTGGATCATTTGAAACATGTTCCGTGATATATAAGTTGACAGTTGAGATTTCTAGTGAATTTATTGTGTTGGCGTGTTTCTCTTGACCTCTTAGAGTTTTGGCTCTCAAAATGTAGTACGTTTCTATTGGATCATGTGTCAATATATCAGAGACTAAAGTTAGCAACTCCATGGCAATGACGATTGATCTAGTTTTCTTTTTTCTGCTGTACTTGTGCCAGGTGTTTGAATGCATGTTTGCACATACCATAAACTTTAGGGATTTACTACCGCCTTGTAGTTGAGATTTTCTACTGATTTGTAAATGTGTTCTGGTAGCATGTTCTCGTAACTGCTGTCATCTGATTGTTAATCATGATACATGGGTCCATGATATCTCAAAGTTCCAACAGAATTAGCTCCTGAGAAACAGATTGGTTTTTTAATTATTAATTAATGAACAGTAATGTTTATTTTGGCTGTTACACACTCATGCTCCTAATTGGTGAGTATCAACTGCCAAAAAGTGTTAATCTGGTTGCGTGTTCAGAAATTGGACAACTGGGTTCTGATTAACCTTCCGACCTCTAGGTTTATGGGATTGACAGAAACTAGCACTTCTGACTTGGAGGCCCAATTCTAGTTTAGGGCTTCCTTAGAGATTTTTTTTGTTACTGGGGTTATCATTGTTTGTCATGAACTCATGATTCTAAAATAGAAGTTGGGAATTAAGCTTCCGTATTCTGAATTGTTTCGTTAGAAGCAATTTAGAAACACAATTTGTTACGTAGATCTAAAAAAATTGTGGAGATATGTTGTCTCTTCTGAACTTTGACCAGTTTGTGAAGGACCGAACAGCACTCCATCTGATCACCTAGGCTGCTGCCATCTGCCATTACATCCATAGCTTTAAAATCTGAAATGTTGTTTGTTTTACGCCGCAGTATATACTTCGGGAATTTTAGAGTCACTAGCAGAAATTTGGTGAATGTTTGAAAACAAGTCCTTATGTATGACCTTAAAGAGGTTGGTACAGGTGAAAAATAACTCAAAAACTTGAGGATTATTTTCTCTTCCAGAGAAAAGAAATTTTTTTTTTATCCTTCTTTAACCTTTGACACAATAATACCAAATTCAGAAGAGTTGCTAGCAAGTAAACTATACATAAGCATCCTAAATTAGATTGACCATGAAGTCATCTTATCTTAGGATAATAATCTACAGCTTTGGCTTCCGCTTCAAGGCTGTTTATGTGGAGGGGCTGGGAGAACAATGTAGTAGTAGTATGCCGCCCAGAAGAATGTCAGGTTTGGGCATTTTCCTGGAGCCATTCAAAGTAGGTCATCCCTCCTTAATGGAGGATCTTATAGTGTTGGAAGGGCAGCCTAGCTTTATCTATCAACTATCCTCAGTGCTCCTATAAAGTGCATAATAGCAGGACCTTACCTACCACTGGATTATCCAATTAACAATACTTCTCAACCAAAAAATGTCCCGCGGTCAAGGATTTATCCCTCTGCATTCCCAAGAGACTAACTGAAGCTGATCCACGCTTTCTAGTTCAATAGAGTTGGTGAGGTTTTTGGGGACTGCGAGTGGAAATCCTTCTTGGGTCCATCCATAACAGAAAGTCCTCAAGGTATAAGTTTTTCCCCTTTCCATTTAGTTTGAGGTTATCCTTCTTATACAGGAAAGGATCTGAAAATTCCCTTGTAAAGAAATGAAGGCCAATAGACCCAAATATGAGTACAGTCTCCTCATCTCTCCTGATTTTCTCTGATTACTCATTCTCTCTGTAAACGGCAAGAATCCCATGCTCATTGGAAATGGAACTCGAAAGAAAATTTTCTTCAACCTTAATGCCTTATACATAATCTCATGCTCAGTGGCGAGTAGAACCCAATATGAGCACAGTCTCCTCATCTCTGTTGATTTTCTCTACTTGCTCATTCTCTCTGTAAATTGCAAGAATCCTGTACTCAAATGGAGATGGAACTCTAAGAGAAAATTTTCTTCAACGTCATTGTCTTATACATAGGAAATTTTCTCTCTTCTTTGCTTCTGCCAATTCCCTGTAAATTTGCTGTGAGAAGGGAAGAGAGACTATGCCCGAGATGTAGGATAGAAACAGGAGAGAGCGTTACTGAGAAGAGATAAAGTACAACTCTTCTACATTTTATTACCCGCACCCTTCCTCAATTCATAATGAATTTTACATGGCAAGCCTTTTAGACATGTAGAGAAGAACATAAAGAGAGCAAAAAAACGGAGGCCACATAGGGGATAATGTGGCTCAAAACAATCAAAAAAAAGGAGGCTATATATTATATATTTAAAAGACCACCATGGCCCACAAGAATAGAGGATAAGAGGGGAGGCACGCCACTTTAACATGGTAGGAAATTACTGTGAAAGGAAACGACTTGTGCAACAAAAGAGAGAAAAAGGCTAATAGTCCATGAGGACCACATTGTAAAAGTGAACTAGCAAATATTTCAAAATAAGGTTGTCTTGAAACACAAACAAATAAATAAAGCTAACAGTCGTCCACTTGTTTTTAAACAACAAACCTCTCGCAACATGGGCTGGCACACTATCTACAACATGGGTGGCTACGCTAGGCATGGCATGGGTGGTCATGCTCAACTAGACATGGGTTGCCACGCTGTCTCAAATTTGGGCACAAAGCCTGCATCTGTGAGCCAGACTACTGGGGCAGCTAGAAAGCTGCAAAACACAATCAATCTCTCAAACATCAGATCCACCTGCCCTTAGAAGCCCATCCTTGTCATCATCGGAGCCATACTATACCAAGCCCAGGCCGATTATCAGGGAGTGCATTCCATCAAAACCTGTGAGCAACTTATGAGCAGCTTGTGGCCCCTCCATACGGGGGGGGGGCAAGGTTGTTTCGCTTGGGCAAGGCCATCAAAACTCAGTTACCCTTGTACAGGTAAACAATAACAAATTACATAGTTTGCATTCTTTATAATTCTCTGGCTTTGATTCAGCGAAATAGCCAACCCTAGATAAGCAGCAGTTGCATGTAAGTTGAGATCATCTATTCTGCTAAATACAACCTTCTTGGACAATCAATTTGGAATGCTCTTGAATGACCATGTTTGACCAATGTGTACTACCGCTGCTTTTCTTAGCCCATCACTGCAATTCATAATGAGAAGGACTTGTGAGCGTTGCAGGACTTGTACAATGAGGAGGTGATATGGGAGCAGATTGAGGCAATGCGGGCCATTGTAGGGTACAAAGGGGTTATTCATGCTTCTTGTTTGGAAGAACTCAAAGCCCTTTATGTTTTCACAGGAGTGGAGCCTCTGGCCTCTTTCAAGGACACTCCTGATCTCATGGAGCTCAATGACAAGCTAAGGTTTCTTAAATCGGTTGTTGGAGTAAAATGAGTGAAGCACATTTCCTCTTACAGTCTTCAAAAAACTAGTGGTATTTTCTTTTGTTTTACTCTCATGCAAATCTAGGTTTGAACACTGTTTTCATTAGTTTCAGTATACATACATGAGAGGGTCCTGTTAGATTAGCAAGGAAATCTGTCACTTGATCAAGCTCTTTGTGGATAAGGAGGTATGGTTTTGGGGCTTCGTTATGACCTTTGATTTTCTTCTTTTGGGTTAGTTGAGGAGTAGGATTATATGTCTTGGACGGGATGTCATGGTGTTGCAACGTCAACACTTCAATCAATCTAGCAACTATTTCTGAGAAGGGTAGGTTAGCTTGTTTGGGCTTTTTGGGATGAACTTCCAAGGGTGTGAACCTTTGGCTGCACCATCAAAGGCTTGACTGGCATGCTTAGTCTGTTATTTAGCTGCCTGTGTGTGACAACACTAGAAAAAGGTCGACTGGTTTATCGTGGACAGCTAGGAGAGGCATTCTTTGGTTTGAAGGTATCTAGACTTCTCAAGCCAGCCTCTACTTAGTTATTTAGTAATTTATTTTAGAAATAGTTCCAGTTCTTTGGAATATTGAGGTAGATTCTTAGCCGTTTCTTTGTATATTTTTCCTTTTTAAGCTATCTTTTTTTTCCTCTTTATTTATTTGGTCTTAATAATGGTGGCCATGGTCGATATATAGATAGGTATTGCCAGTTTCTTCAGTATTTGGTCATCCTATTTTCCTCCAGACATGATGCTCATGATGAAGTAGAGAATGACAATTACTAACTGAAGCAACTAAGCTTTGAGATGGGTATTTGCTATTGGGAGGAATGAATTAGCATTGGTGAGTGATTTTGGTGCTGTACAATGTGGGAGAAAGAGGTCCTAACCCTTGATATTGATGCAATTCACTCTTTTTTTTAGGGGTATTCAGAAAGGAAAAAATTTATATAATGTTGCAACCTTGAAATGTAGAATTCAGGTGTACCTAAAGAATCCACTTTAAGAGGCTATTTTGAACTTGGAAAACCCTCTAATTGATCATCTCGACATCGAGATGCATGAAGATGGAAAGGAAAAAGATTTTGAATCTCAAAAATTAGTGCATCTTGCAACATATTAACTAGACCGTCCATTTTTAATATTTACAGTGTTTATAGATCTACTTGTTTTGAACCATTCTTGCGAGTATGAAATTTTATGATTAGGGATGAAAATAAGTTATAAAGCCATTTTAAGAATTTGACACCAAAATTCCATTTTATAATAAAATTTGGTGGTACGCCTTTGATTGTTTAGGATTGCAAGGCATTCAACTCTACGTGGATTGTGCCTTTCACTGGTCTTTGGGGGAAAATATTGAATTTTATGTAGGTATCATTTTTTCTTTTCTATTTTCCTCTAAAAAACGCTATTACTCAATTCTGAATTGTGCTGAAGTTAGGTTTGAAAAAAATATTTAGTATTGAAACGTATTTATGCTTTCAGTAAAGCTACCCCTTTTGCTTTTCTATTTTGCCCCAAAAATGCTACTCTCAATTCCGAGTTGTGCTGAAGTTGGGTTTGCAAAAAAATATTAGTTAGTATTGAAACGTATTTATGCCTTCGATAAAGATATCTTTTTTTCTTTTCTGTTTTTCCCCAAAAATTTTGTTCTCAATTCTGAATTTTGCTGAATTTAGGTTTGCAAAAAATATTAACCAGTCTTGAAACGTATTTATTAAGCTAAAAATGAGGGGCGGACATATGGCAATAAGCTTTCAATGTTACCCCAACAACATAAGGCTTATGTACTTCCTCTTATCATAATGGTAATGGACAGTTGAAATGGCTCCAATGACAAAGTCAGTTTTTACATTATTTTATTTTTAATTTTTTTTTTTTAAGAATATTTTGACGCTACATTTGAGGCGTCCACTTCTCTTACTTGAAAAATATAAAACAAATATTTGAAAGTTTGAAGGGTATTTTGGTTATTATGTTTTATAAAAAAATTAAATATTTTTTTAGGTGTGCTCTATTGAGAAGATGTATGTATCAAATTTTATATTCATACAATTTGTAAAAAAAAAAAAAGCTTAAAATAAAATACAATGAGGTGTCAAATTTAGATCAAACACTAAGGGGTTCGATCTAAATAGACTACTTGGTGAGGCCGGGGGAAGTATATATTTTTTTTAATGCTATAGAGGGAGTATAGAAACCTTCTCTATGATAAAAAGAGATTACAAATGGGGCATTTAACCATCTTATCTAGGAGAGCGAATGTTTTAGGATATCAAAAGGGCAGTGTTAATGGTGAATGATGGTAGTTTCATAGTAAGGGAGAGAGGTGGTTTGGATTGTGAGATGTCTTTTTTTTTTTGAAGAAGAGGCAGTTGTAGTTTTATTAAGAAACTCTCTTGCTAATTTTTCTGGATTATGCGAGGCATGTAAACATTAGTAGTGTGAAAGCTGGAAATTCTGCCTGATAAATTGTGGTGCTTGTAATTTCACTTGCTTGGCATGGGGAAAGTTGGAAACTGCCTGTATAATAGTTTGTTACGAAATATGATGTATGAAATGCAACTTTTTAGTTACATTTTGTAAATAAATTTTCTTCTATTCATCTAATATAGTACCAAACATGTAAATAAATTTAAGGAATATTTTATTGTGCTTGGAGATTTCATAAAAGTGTCGACCCCTTCTGATTCTATCAACATTTACGTAAATAAGAAACAAAATATTTGAAATATCAAAAATTTACTCAATGCACATGCATCCTTCAAGAGCAAACATATTATAGTTATTTACTAAATAGATATTTAAAATTTTTAAAGATTAACCATTCCATTTTACATACTTTCACATTACCGAAAATAAGCTCGCCTCCTGTGAAATAGGAACACGAAACCTATCACTTGAATTGAGATAGTGAGAGAGAGAGAGAGAGAGAGAGAGCAACCTTATGGCACGAGCATGTATACATCATAGTTAGCAAGTCGGTGTTTAAAAAGCGACTTTTTAAAAAATACGGAGTTTTTTTTAAGTTTGTTTAAAACTGAGATTTTTTAAAAAGATCGGCAAAAATTTGCGTTTTTTTTCATATAAACGTTTAAAACGTGTTTTATTGAACTTTATAAAAAAATCGGTCAAAAAAAAACTGCCCTTTGTACTTGTATTTTTTGCTTTTAAAAGATGAATATTTTTTTCTGTTTTATGTAATTGTTATTTCCATACTTTCTAAAAAGTATATTATTTTAAAAAACAAAAAAAAAAATCCCAAAAAAATTAATTTTTATCTCTAAGTATATTTTTAGGGTTTATTATCTCTGATCAAATCCATTAAATCTATTGTGCCTGTCGCTCATCTAATAAAAAAGGGGGTACATCTTTTCATTGTTTAACTATGGTTATAAAGGGATGGTCACCATACGGACAGAAACATGAATATACTCGACTCAATTCTACTTATCTCACATCGCATTTTTTTTTTTGCTTTATGTACTATGTGTGATGTTTGTTAAAGTATTTAAAGAGAAAATTCGTGTCTTATATTTATTAGCAACTTATCATTTTATTTTTTTATTTCAACTTAATTTTATTTTAATTTCAACTTAATTTTATTTTAAACATTTCCATTTTTTTCATTCCGATTTTTTAAGTTTAGTCCGATATATTTACGATATTTTTATATAAATTATTTTTACCGATCTATATTTTTTACCTGATTTTTTTATCCGACTTTTTAAATTAAAAATGATTTATTTTCGATTTTATGGTGAGCCGATATATTGATCTTCCCCGACTTGTTAACTATGGTATAAATACAGTAACGATTTTGGTGCCATCGATATTGTCCCTCATTTCTGTCATAATTTACTCTCTCAATTGTACCTTAAAATTATGGGCAGACCTATTATGGGAGTTCAGCTCCTCAAGTTCATTTTCAAATTTGTTTTCCTCTTCATCCCTTGTGCGCAACTCGAGATCTTTCCTTACTTCTCTAAGAATTGTCTTCATTCAGATATAATTGTGTAAAATACAAATATTTACAATCTTAAACTATGTCATAAATGAATATTGAAATTGGGAATTCAAGATAGGAAACATTGCATTCTAGATCCTGAAGGTGCGCTCCCTGACATTTCTTAATGATGAATGTTGATCATTGAATAGCTATTTTTGGAGTCCTTGGAGATCTTTGTTGGTGTGTTTTTTTTACGCACTTCTTTCCCCATGCATATAAAAGAGGAGGCGGTTGCGACCGTAGCCCACAAGTACCAAATATGCTTCGGGATTGCAGAAGCCCGCGGGGATTAAGCCCAATTTTGAAGAGCCATTGCAAAGGTATCATCCCGGCCCCAAAAGGTGTATAAGAGTGGTATTTAATATCTCAAAGTCTTTCCCTAAATTTTGCCTCAAGCGAGCAAAGGCACAAAGAGACAGGAAGAAGATACGGTTTGGAGTGTTGCGCTCTATATGTTTGTAAGCTACACCATAGCTAAAACTCCCTGATGGTGATATCAGATGGTCTTCAAACCACTACAGACGGCTTCAGAAAGCCGAAAACGCTCAACTAGCAAGTTTCGTTCCAATAGGTCCTACTTTTCTAAAATAGGTAGACCATTTACTATTCAGGTATGAGCAAGCAAAACCAGTTGACTAAAATAGTAAAATACTGATACATCTTCCCAAAAAGGCATAATCTTGCAACAATTATATCTCATGACCATAAGGCGATGGACGCTCTGAAAACTGTGATGCTTATGTTGATTAAAATGTTTAAACAAACATTAGACTTCAAACAAATGATAAGAGGACATTACACTTGAGGCCAAATTTGCCCATGCATTCCATTTCATAGAAACACAGGTTTATATCATATATAAGGAACGAAATAGTTCGAGAGGTTTAATCCTCTGTTACAATTTACATGAGCCAAAGAAAAGGAAAATAGGTCGAATACCTTTGATTCAGGTCACCTATATATATTTTTTTAAGAAAAGAAACGTACAGCTATATAAAAGTAAGAAATAATACCAATGGGCATATTGGCATGTGTACTAAGATTAAACGCAAGGGTATTATTTCTTGGATTTGCTCTTTCTTTCAGAACGGCTTCCAAGCGCATCACAAAAATAAAATGAACTTCTCCCTCTATGTATCAGTCATATATGGGAACTGTCTCTTTCAAGCTCCGTGTAATACAGTTAGTCTCTCTCAATCTCACTCTCATTGAAGTGAATTAGTGGCTAAATGTACAAACAAAATGGCCTGACCCAACAATTTGTGAACCACTCTCTAATTGTGAGACGGGTCTATATAGCCTTTACGAGCTGATAAATATCAATCTTTAACTGATAATCACGCATCCATGATCTTTTTAATCCATATCCTTCATCTTCATCTAATATTTATCTTAATCTTCATCTTCATGTCAAACTGCATCTTCATCTCTATCTTCACGCTAATTTTTAGATTCACGTTACTTCATATTTGATTTCAACGCATTGATGATAATCACTTTGTTTATCTTAATGACTCTATGGATTAAGATGAATTAATCTGTTCGCACAGGTGTATGTTGATAATAGTCAATGCTTATCTTTAATTTGAATTCACAGATCCCTTAATCATCAGAGTCTCCTAAGCGAAATCAGGATCTTGATATCTTTTATCACCCAGTCATTAAGCTTCTATTACACAATGTAATACATCTTCGTATATCTTCAGTCACTTTCAGATGGTGCGTCATTTGTTTATAAAATTTGGAGGGATTAAAGAGGGTTCAGAGATGAACACAATGGTCCAAATCTCATTAAAAATGGATCACATATGAGAAAAATCGCGTTCGTTCAAGTCACGGTGCTTCTGCTGGGATCTGTGTCACAACCCAAGTTTTATAATACTAGAATTCCTGAGATGTGACAGTCAATTATGAAAGAACGAAAACAAATTTGAAATTTTCGCTAAATATTGCATCAAAACAAAATTCCACTCAAGAACTTTCAGATTTGTATAAAGTCTATTTCACAACTTATAATAACATGAAGATATATATATATATATATATATATATATATATATATATATATATATATAACTTTAA